TCTCCAGCAGGTCGAGGGAGGTGATCCTGCCCCTCTACTCAGCCCTGGTGAGGCCACATCTGGAGTATTGTGTCCAGTTCTGGGCTCCACAGTACAAGAGGGATGTGGAGCTGCTGGAGAGAGTCCAGCGCAGGACCACAAGGATGATCAGGGGCCTGGAACATCTGCCCTATGAGGAGAGGCTGAGGGAGCTGGGCCTGTTCAGCCTGGAGAAGGCTGAGAGGGGATCTAATCAATGTATATAAATGCCTTAAGGGAGAGAGTGAGAAGGATGTGGCCAGCCTTTTTTCAGTGGTGGTCAGTGATAGGAGAAGAGGAGATGGCCACAAACCAAAGCACCAAAAGTTCCACAGGAACTTAAGGAAAAATTTCTTAACAGTGAGGGTGACAGAGCCCTGGCACAGGCTGCCAAGAGAGGTTGTGGAGTCTCCTTCTCTGGAGATCTTTGAAGCCTGCTTGGACGCAGTCCTGTGCCACGTGCTCTAGGTGACCCTGCGTGTGCAGGGGGGTTGGACTAGATGATCTCTAAAGGTCCCTTCCAACCTTAACAATTCTATAGTTCTATGATTCTCTGAACTGGACATCCACCAGGATCCCCAGGTTCTTCTCTGCAGAACTGTTGTCATAATCTTTCCTTTTCACATTTGCAAACCATTTCACAAACTCACTGCATTCCTGTGAAGTGGATAGACATCCATAAGCTCTCTATTTAGAATTTCCATTTTGATACAGAACAAGCCCAGCTCCATCAGCCCCTGCAGGCTGTGTGTTCCAATCCTCCATTGGACTCACGCTGGTATGTCAAGTGTCTTTCTTGCACTATTGTCCAGATGTGGTTTTACAGGTGCAGATTAGAAGGGACTAATCAGTTCCCTTGACCTGCAGCTGTAGTCTTCCAAATGCAGCCTGATATACTGCAGGGGAACCCCATAGACTTGGTACTTCAAGTACTGTAGTGTGGTAGTAACCCTAACCATATATATATTTTTTTTTTGCAAAGCTTCTCCCTATTCAATTAGTGCCCAAATGCCCAACCTGAATGCTCTGTGGGGGGCTAACTGACCTCCTGTGAAGAGTCTGCATTTGCTTTAGTTGAATGTCATGAAGCTTCTGTCAGCTCTTTTCTGCAACATCTACAAGGAACATCGTCCCTTGAGGAAAGGCGGTTCTGTCCTCCAGTGATTCAACCCTCCTCTCTTTCCTCCTCCACTTCCCTGGACTTGCAGTTGTCCACAAACCTGCTGAGAGTGTTCTCTGCCTTGTCCTTCAGGTCATTATTAAAGACCTTGAACAGCACCTGTCCCAGTATTGATTCCCTAAGGGATGCCACTAGTAACTGGCTGTGAATTGGACTTCATCCTGCTGATCACCATTCCGAGCCCAACAGTCCAGCCAATTTTCCTTCTATGCAATCACTTATCCAGTCCATATGTCACCAATTTGATTACAGGTTATTCCTTAAAAAAAAAAAGAAAACAAACCCTTTTATTTTCAAAACTTGATTGATCCATGAAAGGAAAGGCAGCACATTTCTGCAAAGATTTAAGAACTGTATAGCTCAGTCTGCAGATGGAGATTTCTTTCAGCAGAAAGTGCCTATTAAAAATGGGGAGCCATGACCAAGCAGGGCCAGAAGGTTTCTGCTGGCTGGTACCTTTAGAAACACATTAAACCATTCATACTCCTCCTTCCAGTGTTGTTCTCCTTAAAGTCAATGAAAACCCAAGTGAGGATTCATCTAAACCCAAAGGTCATTCTGGTATCTCTGTTGGATCCCATGTCAAGAAAAGCTCATTCACTGCTCCTGTGGAAGAAAGGAAGCAGGCACAGGGGAATGCTGCCAGCTTGTACGGGCAGCCACTTTGGAGGAAATCAGGTTATCTTCCAATGAGTTCCAGTCACCAACTGACTTTATCGTTACAATATGATGAAGGGATTTTTATATTGGGCGCTTCGCAGTGCTCAAAATGTTAATTCTCACAGTATGTGACAGCTTTTGTCACGGAAGCTCTAAGCTGTTTGTTTTAACTTCAACTGTGCTGTTTTATGAAGTTCTGCAGTAAAATGTTCTGATAAATTATATTGCATTACTTTCTTCTGGTCACTAACTAATCATTCATACAATAAATAGCAGTTAACTATAAGAAAGTGATTTATTTGTCACAGTGTTAGATGAATGTCAAACTTTTCCCATTTCATGTAAAAAGGCAGAGGAAAAAATACTTCTAAAATGACTTTGCAACATGTGCTTTATTTTAAGTCATTATGAATCAAAACTACACAGTACACCCTTTTAACATACCCTACCCACTCAATGATTTTTTTCTCAATTTTTTTTTAATATGGAATGAAACCTACAATGCAATTGTAAATTTTCATGCTACAATGTCCTCTAAAGAGCCATTTATGTCACTAATAATAGTAATTTAAGAAAAAGGCCATTTTTCAAGCTCATATGTATGTCTATATTTGGGAAATTAAAAAAAAAATAAACCCGTCTCAGATGTAAAAATGTGACTTGGAATATGTAAACATTTTTGTATACCTGAAACACTGGAAGAAGAATATCAGCTAATAGCAAAACAAAGTTGCCTTAGTCATCGAAATGGAAAAAAGCATGTCATGGGGAGCAGAGAGAAGCACACACTGTTCAGTCTTTAAGGGTTATAAGAAATGAAGTAGCTCCTTGCGTCATTGACTTGACCTTCTTTTCTCATCAAATGGAAAGCAGTAACTTTGGAGAAAATGGCCCAGCAGAACATCCCAATATTTCACCATAACTACTCTAGCCATTAGTTAACCTTGACAGTGTCAAGTTTCTGCTGTTTGTTGTTTTTTTCCTGAGAAAAGTCACTGATGTTTGGTGGAAATGTCTTCTGTGACTGTACAAATAAAATAAGGCATTTAAAGAGATTGTTATGTGGTTTCTTTTTGCTAACAGAGGTTTGTCCACAGTGTCCTTTGTACATCAAAACCTCTGCTTTTCTGTAAATGGGAATGGCTAGAACATCTTCAGTTCCCACTGTGGCCTTGTGTCTTGGGTGTCCTGAAGGCTAGTCAGTGTCCCATTACTGTAGCTTGAAAGTCAGTGATGTACAACAGCATATTGCACAATCCAAACCGCGTGGCTCCAGAAAAGCTGAAGAAGGTACACTGGAGTCATCTGGGAGTTCACTCCCTTGTTTTGTCTTTTCTCTTTAAAGGTAATTATCACCTGGAAAATCAAATTAGCCAGACAAGGATGCAAACTTTATGTTGATTCAATTACAAAGCAGTCCTCAGATTTTACAGGAGTGGCACTTTAAAACAGCATATCATCCAACCTTCTTCACTGTTAATCCTTAATTCGAAAGGCAGCATGGATTCCTAATGCCATAGCTTCCAGGACTCCATCAGTGAAAACCCATTGCTACCTAACTATAAAAGGCTTAGCTCTTAAGAGAATATTGTGCTTTTTTTTTTCTTTAAAATTCAGATGAAATCAACTTGATTTGCAGTGTAACACCAAAGAGTTCAATTAGTTTTTTCCCTAGTCCACTTGATCATAGTCTCTGGTGAGCGATACAGGAATATTAGTTTGGCATACAGGTCTTCTTCCAGTTCCAGTTCTCCAGTCTCTCGCACTAAGAAAATGTCAGTACACAACTTCAAGATTCGGTCTACATTGGGCAGCTCCTCAAACATAATGGAGTGAGAGATCCCACTGAAAAATTCACGGACAAACTTCCCTATCACCAGGACAACCGAGGCGTAAAGTCCCATGATGCTGAAAAAGAAGAAAGGAAAGAGTTCAAACCATGCCTGGTAGAGTCAGACAAGCGCAGGGGAGCTCATCAATACACCTTGTTTTAGTCTTTCAGCTGAATGGACATTTCTAATTAGGATACTGTTTCTGCTGCACTGCAGGGCAGGGGAAAATAAGGTCTCTTAAAACCCCACAGAAAACTGGGAACAGGAACATCTGAGACCACTGATTTAAATGACTTAACACCAGTCACTTACGATGTTCTTACATCCTGCCTGCTACTGCATAGAAATCACAATGGGAAATTTCCCAGTCATGGGCTGCTAGAGGCAAATGGTCTGTCAGATTCCATATCTAATGTACTTTCATTTTTTAATTAAAGTATGTGCAGCTAGTGACAGGCTAGCCTTTACACTGACCTCCCATGGGAATTCTCCCATAGGGAGTTCTCCAAAATTGTAACAGGAGGGCAGTGCTTTGAGGAAGAAAGATCTCTTGCCTTTCTCTATGTGTGGAGTTGTATTTCATAACTGCATAACCAGATGCAGGTGATGAGGAAAGGGGCAAAAATGGGCAGAATTTGATGTGCAACTAAACTAAACTTTTTTGTTTGGTTTTACTTGATTAGGAAAATTGTTTTTATAAGCATGAACGGCACTTTGCAGGTATACATTCTATGCTGCTGCCTCTTTCCAATGAAGAGCAGGTAAGGCAGAGACCACTCCTTATAAAGACGAAGTCCTCTATAAGTATTCAAAATAGATATGAATTTGAAATCATTGCAAAATCAATTTCTTGAGGTCTTCTCAAATATTACAACAACAAAGAAATCCTCCCACCAAACATAGCAAATAACTTCTGTAATTCCACCTTATCTACATTATTTTAATATTACGTAAAGATTCCTTCTTACCCATAGCCAGCCAAGAATCCAAGGCTTGGAGGACTGACTTTATCACTGAATACAAAGAGTTCAAGACTCTCTTCAGACGTTTTATATCTTTTCCCAAGCTGATTCAAAACCCACCACTCACGAACTCCCTCATCGGACACATTTTTGACCAGGGACACGGTAATGTTTTCCCATCCGCATTCTATTGGAAAAGGGAAACATTAACACATATACCAAGAATTGAAAGTCAAACTTAAATCAGTTTGGATCATTTGTGTGATAAAGAGATGGAGAAATGTAGGAATAAGGGTTTTGTTATAACTCTCTTAAAAAACAGTTTGCAATATTCTATGGAAAAACACAGTATCTATATAGCTACAGCTTTCCTTCTAAAATATCATCTGAATTTTCATTTAAAAAGTAAAGAAAATGTTTCATATGATCTATATTTTCTTCTATACAGCTCTCAAGTTATTTGACTATTTTCAGGCCAAAGCATCAGTCAGGAACCATATCTGCATTTATTTCTATAGCATAAAAGATTTTATTCTTTTATATTATGCAAAGTATACTATACTATTTTGTGTACTTGACACAAGTTGGACTTGTGATTTCTAGGGACCATACATTAGCAATTAATACATTGAAGTCCTTTTAAAGAATCCCAAATTAAAAGTTCTCTAGGACAGAGAGGCAAGAGAAACTTCTTGCAACACAAAAAGCCAGAATCAGCCTCAAGAATTACTTTTCTCAACTAATCTAATAATGATTATTCAACACTGAACATTACTGCACTACACGCTGCTCAATAAAAGCCTGAAAAACAACTTTAATCTCTGTTAAGTAAGTGTTCTCAGGTGAAGATTTGTTCCTGCACTCTCTTCCAACTCAGTAGGCTTTTCATGTATGTATGCGCACATAAGTGTGCTTGTGTTTTTTATGTATATGAGTTTTTATATGCATTCCAGATGCACAATAGCACTTCAAAATCCAAGGATTTATCTAACTTGGATTCTCTGTAGTCAATAAGGAAACACTAAAAGTCATTCAGTGCATTTTCAAGAGGTGAACTAGGGAAAGTGATTTACAGAAATGTAGCACTTTTGGTTATTTGTGATAAAGCAGTAAGGAGATACATACAGGAGAAACTTATCATCACTTCCTAAGAAGACATGGAAAAGCAGTTCCTGAAAAGAGAGTTGAAGGTGAACATTGGGGCTTTATCTTGAGTATCCTTGTTAAATATAAAGTTAGAATACACTCAGATCTATTTTCTGCCTGGTACTCTACCACATTTTCTCTCCCCTAGCTTGCAGGCACCACATAGAAACAAGTGTGTGTATTTCAGCCAGAAAAGTCCTACAAGGGCTCAGAATGTGCACACTTGAGTGTTGTATTGCACTTTCTTCAGCCACACTTTATTTTCCATGAGCTGGATACATACCTGACAGTAGCTGCTTTATGGGCTTTGCCAGAGAATCACTGGGAGCCTTGATGTAGTATGGGTACACTTTCTCTAATGTTCTGGGAAAAAAAAAAGCAAATATTTCATTTTTTAAATACCTCTAAAATAGTCTAGAAATACCAAATGAGGATATACACATTTCCCAAGCTTTCACCTTGCTATTACCTTACACTGTTTAAATGTCTGAACGCTATTTGGATTAACCATGTTCTGTCACTTCGACAGGGAGCTCCATCCATAACGTCCCTATTTGCATGCCATGAATTCCACACACCTCGGTCATGTGCTTTTACAAGGAATGAAGAATTTATATTGTATTTTCCCTTCAACAAAGCTGCTTTTATAGTCAGCTATACAAGCAGCACAAAGAAAAGCAACATCCCCAGTGGTAAGTAAGGTAAAAAAAAAAAAAACATAGAAAATTTATTTCTTTAGTATTTCAAAATGTTTAGGCAATATCACCCGAAGAGAGATTATTTCCCAGAATCTGTTACTGGAAAATATTTTCACATATTGTATTATCTGGAGCATTTTAAACTTAGGAAAAAAGTTTGTGAAAATTCTTCCATTAGACTCAAAATCAAATAGCCATAAGTGGGAATAAATTGCAACATGCAAAGACAGAGGCATTTCATTAAAATATTCAGATGTTATCCTAACTTTTTCCTCAAGTGAATGAAAAATTCTAGGAAAGGATGTCCTCCAACAGTTTTCACATACCCTAGGGCATAGTTAAACAAAAATGGCTATATTTTAAAATCTCTCTTGCTGTTCTGCCAGGCCCAAAAGACAGGTAACTAAGCTCAGTAGTTAAGTTGCTCCTCTAGAGATGGTGGCAGAAAAGTCTTGCTGGAGTAGTCAAATGGTTACTAGCTGTCTCAACCATTTTTCCTTTATGGCAAAGTTAAAAAAGCTTCAATCAACAATACTATTGCAACACATAGTTGCAATAGTGCATGTGCATGCATAGTGCAAATGCAAGTGTATCTACATCAGAAAAATATTAGTATATTCTTTCCTCCCATAAAAGAAGATTTACTCTCCTTGGCACCCTAGCAAGTACTTCTGTAGCATCACAGGGCTGACAAGTATAGGAGGTCTATAGTATTTTTAAATGCAACAACTGGTTGTGCAAGATATACATGTGTATGAGTGCAGAAGAATAGCAGTACACAGAGAAGATAAATCTCATTTCCACCTTCTAACAGATACAGGCCTCCCAGAGGTTTCACTCTCTCAGTTGGTCTCAGCTTTAACTTCTAAACTTTTGCGGAACGGATCACATTAGGTGGTCTTCAGGGATGACATGTTGGCTTAGTAGTATTTAGCTACTACTGCTGTAAAATAATCCCCAGTGAGCAGAAGGAAGAAAAAGAGCCAAATACCTTTCAAATCTGAAAGGAGGCACCACTGCTGTTAATGCTATAAGTCTATGTCCATACAATAGTGTTTGACATTCGGATGAAGAGAACACTGTGACAGCCTTGCAAATTTCCATTACAGGAAAAGATCTGATGTCAGAAACTACTGCAGACGTTACCTTTTGACCACAGTGATTTAACACTTCCTTGCCAATCCAAACCCGTTCAAGAATAATAATGAAAAATACAGTCTGGATACTTATTTAGAACAAAAATTTCATCAATATAGTTCCCTCAAATCATAAGGCTGAACTCAAGTAACTCAGAAGAGACCTTAACTATGACTGTACTCTAATGAACTTGTGCTCTTTCAATAAATCAGAGGAAAGTAGCTAATAGCTTCAACATGCTTGCTGGTGGTGTTCCACTATTCATTGTATCCTTGCTCTACATTTAAGATAGATGAAGTTTTTTACTTTTAAAGAAACATTACTATTGTGTGACTTCAATGCTGTTGGTCTTTGTAAAGAGGTGTCTAATTAGAGGAGGGTGGATGGGCAGACAAATGATACTATTGCATGGGCCTTTTAGAAAATGAGTTTTTAATTTTAGAACAAGATTTGCATATAAATAAGCAAAGAAAACAACTTACACCTTTTTCAATTGCTGTCCAGACATCATTTTAGCAATATCTCTTCTGGTATTCTCCGGTAGGCTAAAGGTAAGTTTATCTGATGCTATTTCTGCTCTGGCACCGAGAGTAAGATTTCTGTTTTAAGTAAAAGAGAAGGCACTTATTCAATCTACAATGAGCTGTAATAGCAGAACATAAACACTTGTTTTCTGAATGCAAAGGCTGGTTGTCTAACTAGTCTAACTGCATTGATTTCCCCTCAAAATCTTCCCAAATAGCAAGTATCATGCTACCGCTACCTGAGAAAGTGTTTTTGCCAACTGAGGACAGATCTTAAAGATGCTTTGTTCTAACTGATTCTGCCTTTGCATGCATTACAGGAAAATGCTGACAGATTCACGTGAACCTATGCCAGAGTGATAACAGACTGGGAAAGGGAGACTGGTCTCTCTTTGGCCCTCAGGATGATCTCAGTTACCGCAGAATCGGTGTCAGGAAAGGTAAGGATTCAATTCTCAACTACAGTTCCTCAGACCAACTAGCACTATGTGTTCAATCGTCTAGCCTAAAGGGACCATTGTGCCTGCCCGGGTCTCTCCATGGGCTAGGACACAGCTGGAACAGGATCAACTTTCGCCTACTCCTACATCACTGTCAGGATGCTGTGGTAGGGTAGCATAGTTCTTGGGACCACAGAGAAATCCCCCTGGCAGATGACCTGCAAGAGCAAAAAGTGCATAAACTGCTGGAGTACCAGAAGAGGCTCATCTTAAAGATGCTTGTGGTCTCCTGACCTAGATAAAAGATAGCAGTTTCCCTTTAAGGAAAAAAAAAAAAAGGAAAAAAAAAAAAGGAAAAAAAGAAAGGAAGGCCACAGTGGTAAGCTTTCACCACTTTCAGTCATTCTTGGTTACAAAATAACCCACAGAAGAGAACTTGAGGGTGAAAAAGGTCTCTTTGGAATCTAGTGTATTAATGTTTGTAGCTATACAAGCATAGTGGAAAACTGAGAGGAGGTATTAAAAATTAATAGATGGCTCAGAAATGAAGGAGGGATATAATTCACTGGGCAATACTTTATGCTTCCAGGAAGATAAGGAGGGTCAAAAAAAGCTGAATTAAGGGTACAGGTTCTTAATTGTGGAAGGAGTGACAGCATGATTAGAGCTCAAATAGTGATTCAGCTACCTACGTCTTGTGCATAGTCCTTTGGTGGAATTTGCTATAACAATCCATGGTCTGGATTCTGAAGTTCTGAAGAAACAGGTAGAAATTGCAGCAGCACTGGCTAATCTCAGTGAAGTGACAGATTACCTCCAGTTTAACCTGGCAGTCTATAGGGATCCCAGGTCACAGTCAGAACATGACATCCTGCTGACTGGGTGAGCTCCACCTTGAATGCAACTAACACATATTCTGACCAGCTCTTGGAAAAAACTCCAATGCAAAGCACTATTTCTACACTGAGGCCAAAAGAAAGACATAGTAAATGACCAGAGTCATTAGTCTCAACAAGGTGGATCTGTGCCTCCTTGCATAACAGTGGCTCCAAATAGATTTGTATTTAACAAACAGCTTCTTGTCATCTTGAGGCTCCCTTAGTAAGAGGACCAAAGAGGACCAGCCACTTCTCAATTTCCTCATTATTTTTTTCTGCCCATAAATGCAAACAAGTTTTCCTTTGCAGCAGAGTTTATTTGAGCACCTACTTGTAAAAGTGGCTGAAACTTCTTACTTTCCTCTCCTCCTACTCATGGCCCATTGAAAACTCCACCCTGCATTATTAAATCATGTACTTGGAAGTGACTCCATTCCTCCATTTCTTGAGAACTACAAGCATCAAGTTATTATTGCTGTGTAACAAAGGTCACTTCTCCCTGCCTCTCTTCTTCCCATTTTGCTGGAAAATAACACCAAAAAATGCAGTGTGCAACTATTTTGTTGAGTGAAGGCTTGGCAAATGATCCAGCAGCCTCATAGCAGTCTTATTAATTACCTTTGAATGCTCCATGACAGAACTACAGTGAATTCAGCTGAAAAATCCAGCAGTCCCTGTATCATTTTCTCTCTACTGGGAGGGCTGATGGTCCACAAAGAGTTTGAATTCCCTTCTAGATCTGCTAGAGTTATATCTTCCTTTCCATAGCCCTCTAGAAACTGCAAAGCAGCCTGTAGGTGCAGAAGAGGGAAAGGGAATTTCACTGCGGTGACATTCACACAAGGTACACAAACACATTTCCTGCTCTGGCGGAATTATAACTGCTCAGTTAATTACAAGCTCATTGGTTTGCACTGATGGTTTCCCTCAGGTACCAACTGGGGCTTTACATGTGAAGGGGCATAAATAAAGTATAACCAAGCCTAGAAGGCAAAACAAAAATTACACTTTTGTTTAAAGTGTAAGTATGGTGGCCAAGTAGGCCAAAATGAGTCTGAAAAATTACTCAGGTAAATCCTGCAGAGTCTATTTAATCTCAGTTCCTTTAGTTTCTAACAACCTTTCTTATGAACCCAGTGAGATTTGCTAGTTCTAGTACCTGCCAATTTTGACTGGCACTTCTGGCATTTCACACAGCTTCTCTGAAACTCCAAATAATTTCAGTCATCATCACAAAATGTAAGCCACTGTACAAACGATGTACTGTGCCTGGCCTCTGTGTGATGACTCATGTTTCCAGTAATGGCTGGCAGTCTCTGGAGCTACAAGACACCTGGCACCTCTGTTTAGCTATCTAGCAAAAAAGCCATGTGTCTACTGAAGTTGTGTCATTTAGAAGGAAGGTTTTTATTCATGTCACAGGACAAATGGAGGTGAGTTTATGCAATTATGTCATGATTAAGGGCAACTTCTTTCTTTATAACCCAGTCCTGGCCTGACAAACATGATCTATGTTACTCTTGCAAACTGTCTTCGTAGACACATCTTCCCAATGACAGCAGTATGTCTGGCCACTTACAGCTATGCAAATAAAACTCACAAAAAGCCTCCACAGAAACACACACACATTTTTAAATAATGAGATATTCCACAAGTCACTTACAGTGTTATCTCTATAGCTTCTCAGAAATTCATTAAAACCAGTCTGATTCAAATCCTTGAGCTGGCTCTGTTGAGCACTCATTGTAAAAATAGGCTAGGAAACAAAAGAACACACTCTTGTCACATTTAACTCATATCAGCTGCTACCAATGAAATACAGAATTTTGTGTATTTCAGTCTAGGACAATTATAGTGCCCAATTTGATAGAAGGTTATGATCTTATATCTCAACAGACTACCTCCATCCATCCATCCATCCATCCATCCATCCATCCATCCATCCCACAGATGGACCTGCAGGCAGCTACCTCAGAGTTCCAGATGTGGGTTAATTTATGCAGCTTCTATTGGCAATGGGTTCTATTTTTATCTTACAATTAAAGGTAATATTTTGCATCTGTGACAAACTAACATGTTTTTAAACCCAAAAGGGATCATCTGTTTATGCTGATCTCCTGTGTATACCAGGAAATTTTCACTCAGAAAACTCAAGGTAAGAAAAAGGAAATGTGCAAGAAAAACACAGTGCAAAACCAGTGATTTTTTTTTCTTTTTTTTTCTTTTTTTTTTGTTACCTGATAACCTCCTAGAGTTATTGTGATTGATACATCTAGAGGCTTGTTGGTGACGCCTGCAACAGATTTGATTAAAGACATGAAGAGCAGTGGGAACCAGACAATACAAATCAGCAAGACGATAATCATGCCACCCATTCCATACTTCACAACTTTCTTTTTCTTCTGGCCTCTCGGTTGAGGATATCTCTGCAAAAGCAAACAGCAATATGGTAACATCTCTTCTATCAGCGGTACACTTTGATCGGTGTAAGAATAATGATCTTATGGATTCTAATCTCCTGGAGTAATTTGTACTGAGATTTTTAGCCAAACCTGTACAGACAGTGAATTACTGGAAACTGCAGAATGGGGCACCAAACAAATCCATGGCAAGTGTGTGTCTGGTGTGAAAAGCATTGTAAACTTTCATGGTTTTGACTCCTCACAACCACAGATAAAGGAAAACATCAGGTTTGGTAATAGAAGTTTTTGTCTGAACCAGCATAAACATGAAGCCACAGGAACCAAAAGTAAAATAATAATACCAACAATGATACAACAATTTGCTCAAAGTATCTCAAACCTCATTAAGGCAGAATATCTCCAATACAGCCTGAAATCTGCAAACTGTGTTTCAGGAAAAATAATAGGTATTTGCCAGCAACCGATATGCACAATGTAATAGGATTGTCTGATCCACCCTCATTTCATGCCTCACCATATATTCCTAACAGTTGTTCATGTTCCAGTATGTTTCTTAGCCCATTCAGCATCAATTGAATTTAAATAATGCTTCAATCTTTGTTTTTGTTTCTGAAGTCTGGACACTGTTGATTTGACATCCTTCACTTGCTTAGGTTCTGAGACCAAGAATGATCTTGCTTTTATCCTTCTCTTTTCAAAGCAGATCAGACAGCACATCTGTTCTCCCTTGTCCATAATTTTCTCCCTCTGTTAATGGCTGATTGAATGTTCTAATAGCTTCACCATCCTGCATAACGTCTTTCCATCTCTGTAATGGACTTCAGAATATTCTCATACAGGATTTTACTCTGCACACTGTTTTAGGATCCTGTCTTTCACACACTACATTTGCAGTATAAAGATGCATTGTATTGCACCGCACCTCATACATGTGCCAGGAATCTGGCTTTCAGGAAATTGTTCTTGCTTTACAACTTGAATCCATAAAGCCTATGGAGAATATTAAATTTGTAATACAATGCTATATTTAAGACAAATTAGTTACTTTTCAAAAGCATTGTATCAAATCATTTGTCTTGCACTACAGAATACTGTTTTCATTAAAATCTCGTATTAAGACCACCAGGGGCACATTATTTATCTGTTAGAGAATAGTTCAGTCGCCTTTAATGCTGCTGCAGAAAAGCTTGGAGAGACTAACAGCTAAAGTACTTAGGAATATCATTTAATGTGAGACAAATACAGAGAGAACTGAAAGTACCTTAAACAACACTCATTAAGTTACTGGTAGTTATTTTGCTGCATGGCATTAACACACATATGCCAGCTTACATTTGGAAATTTTCCCACTTGAGATCACATAAGCCAGGGCAACTCTCTTTTAGGTTAAAGAAAATGCAGTAAAACAGTGAGTCAAAGTAGAACTGGATTATTCACTCTCTGACTCTTGAAGCCTCTGATGACACTCCACTTAGGGCTGAAATATAGGTCATACAAAAAAAAGGGGGCTATATACAAGATTTGTGTGTATTTCAACTCTCAGTTAATCTAACTGACATACTTGGAAAGTAAGTGCCATTAACAGACAGGATTATAATAAAAGTAGAAATACGTCAGTAACACTTAAAAATGCAGCCATTTCGTTGCAGATGTACAATTTCTGACTGGCTGGGTCACTCTTAAAAGAATGCTTAATTTCTTTTTCAAAATTGGCAAAATAAAGAAGCATATGGTTGCAATCTTTATAGAGGTTAAAAGGAATCCAGAATTTGCAAGTTTAATTTGAATTGAAGCTTAAATGATTTAAAGAGACTGAAGTTCTAAAAGGCAAACAAATGGTGAATTTATCTGGTCTTCACATTTATATGTGTGTGGATTCTCCCAAGCTAACAAAACCAGCTGAGCTCATTCTCCAGTTACACTAGAGAAGAATCCTTGAGACCTACGGCAGAGGCACAAGCCCTTCCTTATCTTGACCCTTCTTCTGAGCTACAGTTTCACTCTTCTGCAGGTTACTCATTTAGTTTTGTATGAACTGAGTCTGGGTGAATATCAGACCTTTCAACCCCATCCTTGAAATTCAGGTATGCAATTAATGTGTTTGTGGAATTCATGTGATAGTGGAAAAATTGGTCACGAAAGAGAAATTTCATTTGTAGTGGCTGCCAACTAACATAAAATACCCAATGGTCTGAATATTTCTGAACATGAACACCAGGTGTATCTTCTAGAAAACTGTCTTTATGGTGGATTTCCCAGTGATCTAGGGACTCTTGATTATTTTTCTTCATTTTTGCACAAGGGACAGGAGGCCTGGATCACTTCTATAGTGATCCTTACTTTTTCTGACTCTCGCCAACATTTCAGGATGAAAATGTGAGCATAGATATCTTCCACACAGATCCAGCTGGAAAGACTGAGAGTGGTATCAGTCCAAACCCAGTCCATTACTGCTCTCAGCTCAGTCAAAAATGGAACCAGGCGGAATCTGAAGGGAGACCAGAGGAGAAAATTATTCAGAAATGAAATTAAATGAGCACAATAAGCATATCACAAGGGGGAGAACTAAACCATTGTGAAAAGACATTTTAATGGGAAATTTTGCAAACTTGAATGCAACCATCTCCTGAGATGGCTCAGCTAGTACTGATGTTGTAAGCGTGGTAGCTTTTGCAACAGCTCACATTCTTCTCACAGCCCCCTGTGATTATGCCCTGTGATTATGCATGAATAATCTGTCATGCACTGATGGAACGGGATGGATTTCCTTGTCTACTCAAATTCCTTGAATCTGGGAGGGGAGTAGAGCAACACAGCTTTTTACAACTTTTTTACAGTTTTTTTTTTTTTTCCCAGGATGGTGGGAATTTATCTTATACCTCTTTAAACCATGAAGTGCATTGCCTCTTTGCAGTGCTCAGCTGCATAGAGAATTGGACTTTATGACTCTGAATTAAACAGAAGAAGAAGGTGGGATAGGAGGAAGGCAATAAGCATACAGCAGCTTTCCAAAGTGCACCATTCCCTTTACTATTCCCACACCTCTCCGCTTGGCCAGGCCAGAAAGACTACTTCATGTGAAAACAAAGCGTTCTTCTATAACTTTTCCTCCTGGAATGCAGCACTGGGAAAAGACTGACATTATTAGAGCAAAATATATTCTACTTATTCTGTGAAATAAAAGATTATGCTTTTAAATGGCTCAAAGAAAACATCATGGTAACAACATAAATGGTAGGTGGCTATGCCTTCCTGACACTGTCTTCCACTCTGAGGCAAAACTTTGCCTTTATTTGCACTAAAACCCCTGACTCCTGAGGGGCTTCAAACATGCAGATTTTTAGAAAGATACACAGAGGAAGCACTGTTTGATGTATAGCTTTTAATTCTCACGTGCGCTGTCTTTCACTTTATTTTCCTTTCCACCCACTGAGGTAGTACATTAGACCTGCTTCAGTGACCTTTTGGGGATTAGATGCCTAACTACTTTTAAGGACTGTGGAGGGAATAACATTTGTTATTTTCTAGCACAACATATAGCCTCTAATGATTGTCACGGAGGTGATTTATTAGAAGTGTTAAAAAAATCTCTCTTCCATTGGTGCCTGAATGGTAGAGTGTTAGGTTAGGCTTCTGAATTCAGGTTGCGAAGTGGATTTTTCTAAAATATGTATTCCTGAAATTGATTTTTTATGGACTACTGGGCATAGATGGTGTATACAGGGGAGTGCAGTGTGCACAATCTTACTGATTCATTTCCAGACACCTGTGATGAGAGGTGTTGAATAACCTGCACATCTCAGTGATAACAGAACTGTATTTCAGAAAAGAATGGAAGGGGAAAGGAAGTCTAGACTTACCCTTGAAATAAGAAAAGGTTCACATAGTTATAGCTTTTTGTGAGGAAGTTGCCAAGAACACGAGTCGGATATCCACAGCGTATCTGATATGCTGATAAGCCAAAATAAACACATTTCACAAAATACCAGAGCTGGGCAACTGTATTCTGGCTAAATTTCCTGCAACGGAAAAGACAGATAAAAGAAAATGATGGCCTTTGTATCTGCACATGCCTGCATCTCTTGCTTTCTGTTCCTAAGAATTTATGAAAAATCTTTGTTTTTCAACCCCGCTACAGAGGTAATACAATAAACTGTAAGAAGCTGGATAAGGAAGTGCCTGAATAGTGCCTGCTGTCAGCTCACGATCATAGGGGAGACTGGGAATAGGCTCTGCAAAGAGCATGAGGGCTCTGGAGCAGTGCTGTGTCCCGCTGGTGCTAGAGGCACTTTGCTGGACCACACAGGCCGCTGCTCTCAGCCCCCATGCTCAGCCTTCCTGAGCAGATGCTGCTCCTCTTCTCAGGTGGCTGGCCTTTGGCCTAGCCCTGGTCAGCTATCAGTGACCAGCAGTGTTCAGTTAGGCATCTCCACCGTTAAAGATGCCTACCAGAATGCAAGTTGGAGTAACCTCTGAAGATCACCTTTTCTAATCCCACCCACTAGAATCAGGTCACAGAATCACAGAATGGTTAAGGTGACAAGGGACCTCTAGAGACCATCTAGTCCAACCCTGCTGCTCCAGCAGGGACACCTAAAGCACGTGGCACTGCGTGGCATCCAAGTGGATTTTGAGGATCTCCAGAGAAGGAGACTCCATATCCTCTCTGGGCAGCCTCTTCCAGGGCTGTCACCCCCACAATAAGGAAATTCTTCCTCACATGGAGACGGAACTTCCTGTGTTTCAATTTGTACCCATTACCCCTTGTCCTGTCACTGACCACCGCTGAGAAAAGTTTGGCCCCATCCTCTTTACATTTTCCCTTCAGGTATTTGTGCATGTTGATCAGATCACCTCTCAATCTTCTCTTCTCCAGGCTAAACAGGCCTAGCTTGCTTAGGTCAAATTAGACCAATTTGTTCGTGAACTTTTCCAACTGCATTTTGAATATCTTTAAACATATCTCTAAAGATCTCCAACAACCTCTCTGGGCAATCTGCTCCAGTATATGACATCATGGCAAAAAATTGACACCATATCCAGCTGAAATTTCCAGGGTTCTAACCTGTGGCCTCTTAATGTGCTGTTATTCATCCCTGGGAAGAGCTCAGCTCCTTCTCAGTTTCTTTTTATTAGGTTACTGAAGACAGCAATAAACTCCCCTCTTCACTTTTCTTTCTCCAGGCTGTTCCCTCAACCTCTCCTCGTATGTCCTGTACTCCAGCCCTCTGATCATTTTGGAGAACACTTGACCTTTCTAAGTGGAACTGCAGTGTGATAGCATGCTGGAATTGCAGGAAATGCCTCTTGACAAAAAGGGCTTGTTAGTCTGAGATGGTCCAATATTTCCGGTTAGAAACTAGAACTATTCTTGCATGTGCTTCTAAGAATCAACCTGACTTGAAATGAATACAGAGGTCTCAAATGAAATCTCTATGCAAAATCTCTATATGATCAATAAAGTGAGGTAAATGCTTCTAAGCAATTTAAAGTTCTAAGTCGGAGCAGAGTCAGCCTAAGCACTGCTGCAATACAGAATGATGAACCATGCAATGAACCATGCAATGAGAAACATGAGTTTGGGGGATGAATTTGATAATACATGTAATGCAGGACTTCTTTGTGGATGTCACAGTATCCATGCCAGCTCCAAGGTGGTGTGGCAATGGCAGCGGAAGAGAAGTTTTGCTGTTCATAAAGAACATGGGTTTTAGACCTTTCTCAGCCTGAGGAACTAGAACCCCATAGTTCACACATTCCAGAAGAGTGCCAAGTTATAAGTTAACTCTGGATTTTTTCTACAGCCACTTTTAAAACGGCAAGATTTCTGATGAGTTAGAAAGGCTTAAAGGCAAGAGGCACATTCTGCTAGAAGAGAAAGGAAAATGGGGGCTCCCTGGGTTACTTCAGTATGTATCCAGAAATGTTCTCTTAAAAGATGCAGTCTTGGGATTAGGGAACTGAATACAGGCTAAACTTGCTTCAGCTGAGTGCTGTAGCCACTCACTCACAGGCACATTTTCTCTCAACTACTTTCTTTTTGGCTTAAGTTGAGAATATTTCAGTATATGCCAATATAATTTAGTTCTCCCCTCCTCAAACTCCTGTATGTTGGCCACCATTTCTGTTGTGGAAAGTTACTCTGAAATTCTGTTTAAAAGTGAGACCAAAGGGAAATGTATTTATGATTCCAAAGCTTATGACCAAAGTTATAGCCATTTCCTACTTAAGTTCAAATAACTTGGTAGTACATCACTTTTCAACATGTACTGTCTGGCTGTAAAGGTCTATACCTTTCTGTCACTCCAGGCAAGATAAAGAACATCCAGAAATGTATTCCAAAAACAAGGATGACCTGGAAGATGACCTTTCCCATGACAGTCTTTTTGAGGTACAGTGCTCGGTCTACCACCATGGTACCAAACTGAATGAGCACCATCACCAAAAATGCCTCTGGGACCTGGTCCTCTGATAATGAAGAGGTGATATCTGCTGCTGCAGAGTGTTTCTGGAAAGGAAAATACAACAGGGTGACTGAGGTAGAAGGACACTCCGCACATAACCTTGCAACTCCAGCAAAGGTCCCAACCGAGAATTTGTGAAGATGCTTTATATGACCTACCCCAAAAGCCCAAAATCCAAACACAATGATGATGAAGTCCACTGTATCGGCGAGGAACATCAGCACATACACATCAGTCACAGCACTGTAGTCTGGATGAATAAGATTGTAGAAAAACTGTCTGATGGGCACATACACTTGGAGAGCTCTAAAACAACATAGACCACAATGCAATTTAACAATACTGTAACTTGCACTGAAGATAAGAATAACTAAGTTTGATAGTATTAATTTATGTAAAGATATGCTATGACAGTCTCCATGGAGCTTTGCAGACACCATTCCCTTTTACTGATTGCTTCTCTAGCACTATGCTAGCATTTGTTCAGTCCAAATATACATAGTCAACTATAATACCTCAGTTCACACAAGATATTTAGCTTTTTATCAGGCAGTTGAGTACCCTTCAGTGCTATTTTAACCCCTGCTGACGGTGTGAAGTTCAGCTGGTGGAAGTTAAGAGTGAATTCATACCCATCGAGTATACAGATCCTTTCATTCCCTTGAATTAACAGAAATAGTAAATTACAGTCTTTAAAAAGCTATTTGATGTTTCGATCAGCTATTTGGAACCTCCTCCCAAACCCACAACTCCTCACATTGCTCACTTTTTGACAGTAAAGGCCTTGGCTTTGATCATTTGTTCTCGAAACTTTTCCATAATAAGCTCCTTCTTAGATTTCTGCCTGATGCTTAACACACTGCTTCCTTTCTGACTGCTGTTTCGTGTACTGGTGCTTCCTGAAAAAAAATGAAAGAAGAGAAGGAAAGAAGCTCTTTCAAAATCAAAGTTTAGATGCAAACACTAGAAAGTAATTAATCTGGAGACTTCATGCAGAAGACTTCACAATTTGAAAGAAACTTTGAAGTTAATCCTTACGCTTTTTTTCTGATATGATAAAATCTTGACAGCATCCAATAAAGGTTTCAAAGATCAAAACTTGATCCATAACTATATAGCAAGAGGACTAATGATAAAGTCAAATATTTGGTTAATCTCTCTCATATGGATTGGTAAAATAAATATTCAGGCAAGTTCTTCCTTTTTAGAAGATGAGGAAGGTATCCAGGATCTCTAATCTTTTTTTTTTTTTTTTTTCATTTCAGGTACCATGTACCTATGAAAAATATATATTCTTTGAATTTCTTCCAGCTAAAGATTATGCTGTACCAGATCTAGGCTACACTAAAAGTTCCTTTCCCAGCTTTTGGATAATGTCATTGTAAAGACACAGTGAATCAGAAAGTGGCTCTGAATTTGACTTTTAACAAGTTTTGGGGTACGTTCAACCTCAAAGACATTTTGATTTATATCCTATTTCTTCAGCAGCATTCAGTAGTCTTGTTTCCCCATAGCAACAGATACAGTCTCAGCAGGTTTACCCTATGGGACATCAGTGTACATTCTTCAAATCCCAGCATTACCACAGCATTTACCTCTTTTAGATCTGTGTGAAGAGAAGCTGGACCTATGTGAAAGCTGTGACCCACTGCTGGAGCTCTTCCTTCTGATAGCAGTCTGCTGCTCAGGGAAGTGGACGTGGATGGACTCCACTGATGCTGCAAGATTGACAGATTTCAGAGAGCCAGAAGAATCTCTCCTGCCTCCTGCCAGAGACAGCTCATCATCAGTATCCTCTTTACTACTGGAGTTCTCCCCTTTCTCATCTTCATCCCATAATCCATGGCACTAGTGGAAAAAAAGAGGAGGGATCATATCAACATTGTATTTTTGTATCACAGTATTTTTAGAGGGGGGAAACAAATTTGTTGTGCTGGGACAGCACATGAATGACTATAAAAACATAAACATAAAACAAAAAGTCACGTGAGCTCAGGTTACCTTTAAAATGGATCTGTGAAAGAATAAAGCAAGGAGCTGAACGAGATCATAGTGCACATAACCCTCTTTCTTCTCAATGCCAATAATATTGGGTGGATGGTAAGGTTTGTCTTTTGTGTAATCCACGTATTTATTCCATGGAAAGAAGCCAAACTGGAAGAAGTACTTGATAACAATGGCCACCTGTCCAGAAATACAACACACTTGCGATATTTTCTAAGCATGGCAGATATGATAGCTTCATGCCACTAAGAAGGGAGAAATATGTCAGTTTTAAAGCACTGTCAGTTTTAAACATGAGCAATAAGCATGTATGTACATGCTACAGAGGAACAACAGTTCATGTTCCCACAGTACTATTGCTCATTACAGTGAAGAAAAGCACAAACAAGATTCATCAAATAAGTGGCTGAGGACTTTGACAAATATTTTTATCAATATAATCACAAAGGCATCAGTCCTATTGTTCAAATAGGCTATGTTGGCATACAAAGCAATTAACTTTTCTTCTCTGTGTTTGGTGAACGGGGTTGCAAAAAGAGCACCATACCTCAGTATAGACAATGGCCGTCATCCAGAAACGTTTGCTTGGTCTAGGAACAGACAGCATGGCCCAAAGGAATATCAGGATAGGAAGCACCAAGGTTATCATGGAGGCAGAGATCATGTGGTTAAGGATGATCACAAAATAGCACACCATTTCTGATCGGGCTACCAGGGTATTGTACAGGGCATAAATAAGGAGCAAGACTCGAGGCTGACCAACATAAAATTTCTCTGATTCCTCTAGTTCTTCATCATGAAACATCCTGTGAGGAGGAGAGTATCATAAGTCAAATGAAAATTAAATTCATAAGAGCTACTTTTAGTCAGCCACTAGTTCACCTTTCGAAATAGTTCTGCTGGAGAATCCAATAAAAAATAAAATTGGATTAGATATTACGATCAAATAGCCTAATTTTAAGCCAACAAACAAGAATTTCAAACAAAATGATTAGACGCGCTCTTTTAATGTTTTTAATATTTCCAGAGAAGTTCTGGTGTGGCCCCGCCTGGATTCATATCTGATATATTAACACAAATGTGAAATTGAAGATACTCTAGTGGTCCATCAGGACATGTAGCGATATCATTAGCATTGTGACATACCACTATAACATAATAAATGGCCTTGAGCATTAGATGTGTTCAATCTCCTCTCACCTACCTAAATTAACTAAATAGAAAAGGCAGCATGAAGTTATAACTTTCGTGTACATTCACAAATTTCTTCTTTGCTTTTCATAAGGTTTAAAAAGAGATGCAGATAAAAAGCCAAAAGGACGATGGGCATCCAGAAGAAAAGTCACTGATCTACAAAGCCATGTCTACACAGCCACTCTATCTAGTTGCAGTTAGGCTGAAAGACATTACTGCAGTTTCAGATTTTGTTATTGCATTCATGGGTGTTCTCCCACAGTGGAGTAAGGCTAAAAACAGAGGAAGGGATGCCGTGGTACCAAGCCCCCTTCAATGGTAGTTTTCTTACTAAGCATATTGGCTGAGGGGCAAATAGTGGAGCATCCTATCTCTTATGAAAGTACATAGGCATGGTGGTCTCTCTAACTAGCTCTCAGCTCCTATAGACTTAAACAAAAACTCTGCCAAGGGTCAGAGCTTCCCTTTTAGTAATCCAAAATAGTTAAAGGAGAAACATTATGAGATAGTCCTGGGAGGAAACTTACTTGAAATCACAGCTGTCTGGGGAACAGAAAGCCTCTCTATATGGGATGTTTAGAAAAGCCCTTTACCCATGACAATTACTAACACAGAAATCCACTGCTAACTACATGACTAGCTACAGTATCTGGGGACAAAGTGGAGATTCTTTCCCACATGCATATGAATTATTTTGGAAATCTATAATTAGAGCAATTAAACAGGAAATGAGCTTCTTCCTTAATCCAAACTTAGCACAAGCTCTTTATCAGAAACCACAGACTAGTTTTGAGAGAAAAAGAGAAAAATCATGGCAAAACTTCACATATTGGGACCAAAACTTTTTCCTTGTCAAGCTCCTTACTTGTTCAGAAGCAGCTCACTGGCCGTTAGCTCATGCGTCAGTGGAGGGAGTATCGTATCATTAAGTTTGTCCGTCCGACTGTCATCTGGGCTCACCATCATGAGACTCTTACCAGCTGAGTCATCTTGGGAGCCAAAGGAAAGGTGTTCAAAGCTGACAGCTTTGCTATAGGAAGGTGGGGCTTCTGCATTGCTATCCACAGTGGAGTACAATGGCACATCAGTATCAGGAGTATACGCAGCTCCTTCTGAATCCAAGCTGTAATCTTCTACCTCTTCTTCCTCCTGCCTTGATGCAGAATGTGCTCCTTCCTCATCGTGCTCCACTTCTACCTCCTCAATAGTTTCTGTTGTCCCCTGACGAGAGTAGAGCATGGTGACCTGTGTAGGTTCACTGTCAGGGACGGGATGAAGAGAGAGTTGAGGCTCATTGCTGAGCAAAATTCATTAACTGTACCTTTGTGAACAAGCTGAACAAACCTACTGCAACCCCTGGCCCTTATAGTTCACATCATTTAGCAGAAAATGTATCACCAGGATCTCCTTTTACACAGATGGACCATCTGGGTCCCTCTGCCCCAAGTGACTTCTCTGTGAACTCACAGTGATCTACTATCTTTTCACATCAGCAAAGGACAAATTAATGTCACCAACAAGTGAAAGTGCCCCTAACTTTCTGAAAGCAGTTGAAACACTTTGTGACTAGATTTGGAAGTTGCTATTACATTCATTTAAATCATGCTCCATGGTGAACTACAGGGATCCATGCATTTCTCTGAACGTGATGCTTTAAATAGGATCCTATGGTTTCAAAGAGGTACTACATACAACTGGAAAAACAGCTGAACACACACATCAAGTCTGCTTCTAAGTCAATTAAAGAACAAGTAAATTGCAATTGAGGAGAATTCAATCCAGATTAAAGACATTTTCTAGTAAAAGAGCATCTTGCTTACCTTCAGATTGCTTTATGTTCTTCATTATGGTCTTCATTTTTTTTATCTATCTGCCTGTTTTTCTTACATATAAATCTCTTTTCTTTTTCAACTGTTCTTACTCATTTCATTCAGTTCTCTGCTTGCTCACCTTGCTTACACTTGGCTTTTCAAGTCCATAATCACTCTCCCTTCTGCTCTATTTTCTGCAGCAGCCTCAGCTGATGTAAATTCATGCAACTCAGTGACTCCAGGTGGAAATCTGGACACCATTGGTTTTAAATATTTCTGGGCCTTGATTTAATCCTTTTCTTCCCTCACAAGTATTTTCTCATCTCTCACCAAAAATGTCACCCTTTCTCTTTTATTCTCCATTCCAACCCCTCTCCAAAAGTGACACAACCGGCCTCAACATGGCTTTTGTCAAGCTGCATGTTCTTGCATCTCAACAGAAAGAAAATAGATTTCAAATAGCTCTACTGAAGTGAATGGGGCCAGAGTTTCACCTCAAGAATAACCTTTAAGAGAAAGTAGTAGCTGGAAGTACTATCTCTGCCAAAGTTTAAAATAAAGTTTCATCTCTTTTCCTTGTACACTCTTTCCAAACTTACTGTGGTTAGGTTGGATAGCTTTATTTCTAGTAGACTTTTTAATAGAGTTTGTAAGAATTAGAACTAGAGTGTGTGTTTTGATGATTCCTAGTAGCAATCATTCTGGTTAAACTACTCAGGAATATAAAATCTCATCCTTTCAAAGCTAATGATTAGCACCAAAAATTTCTAACATGCTGTTAAGACTCTAAAAACTGTACCAATATGCCATAAAATTTTGCATTTATAACATTAGTTGTTCTCATTTCCTGTTGTTGTATAACTTCATGGTTTTGACCTGCTAAAAGTAGATAAATGTCTCTGAATGGTTCTCTTTCTGACACTGTATATTAATATTTGCCATATTTTCATATCAAATTTTTCTTTTCCTAAATTCATTACCTTACTGATTGTTAAACTATGCTAGAAAAATCAAAACATATTTAACAATCTTTTCTATGTGGAGGAAACCAAAAACCTGAAAGAGCAAGGGAAATATTTGTCTATCATAATTCCTAAAATTAGACTCCTTTTAGGACCTATTTAGGATAGCTGATTTGCTGAGAAACTGCATTACCAACCTCCAATTTCAATATGAACAAGCCTCAGCTTAGTAACTCTGAAAATCAGACCCTTTTCTATCTGAATAAATACAAAATTAGGAGACTGTTTTTGGACAGCCAGATTAATGTAATGGAAAAACTTTTAAAAATATATGAATACAAGATTTTAAAAAAGTCACACAAAAAGAAGTGAAACAGTAAGTGAATCCTGGTTTATAACCTTGACTTTGAATCTCAGAATCTGGCCATGACAAAGAAGGGAGTAAAGCTTCCGTCAATCATGCAAACCACTCTGTACAACAAATCTCTGCAAATGCAAATTTATATATACTGCAAAAAGTATATAATGGTCAGGGTAAATGAGTGAACAAAGCATGCATGAGTTAAGCACCTTGACACTATACTGCCACTGTCAGCTGATGAGGAGGACATATCCATGCTGTGCATTTTACGAAGCCTAGGTCGGGCGCGCTCACTTGTTTTAGGAACAGAGTCAGGTCCATCTAAATCATCAAGGGTTGACTGCCTTGAGAACAGCATGGTTGCTTCAGTGTAGCAGCTAGCAGCGCAAACAGTTATAAAGACAGTGTTAAATACAAACGATATTACTATACACACGGTTCAGTAAATGAATGTGCTCGCCATGCAGCAAAACACTGACACAAAGACAAAAGGTTCAGAGAGAAGATAAGGATTTGTTTTGAGTTACTGTGTAAGCACATTTCAAGACATGGGTGGTCGTAATCACACAGGGGCAATACAAGGTTAACAGTGATGTATTTACTGATCCAAAAGATATCAACCAACACAAGGTTTTATATGTTTTCTGGAGGGCACCAAGTGATATGGGCGAGGAGGTTTTATTTTCTTCATTTTTTCCCTGGAAATTCTGAATTATACAAAAATGTTTTGGAAAGTGACCTCCTCTATCCAAATTCTATTTTATTAATGATATGTTGGGTTGAACCCTTTTTTACGGGTACAGGCCAATTTCCTAAAAGAGCTCTTAAACCTGAATAAACTTATATTCCACAAATAGAAAAATAGCTGTCAGACATTGGCTAATCCTCTTTCCGAACCAAAGAGCCAAATCGGATATATTACTCAGCCAGTAGTTGCATGCCAAATATAACCTGCTCTGAATGAGATGGCTTTTATTTTGATATTTAGTAGTATGCCCTGATGATTCTTTCCAGAAGGTTTCATTTATTTCAGTCACCTCTTAAAAATATTTTTCTTCCTATTTCAAGATCTGTAGCATGGATAACTTAAAAGACAGACCTAGTAAACCCTTATCTCCTTTCACTTATCAAAAACAACACGACAACCAGAGACACACACCATATATTGAGCATTCCTATGTTACTGGAGAGAAGGAGAAGAATTGGATGAGTTATGAGAAAGAAAGTACATATTTAAACAAAAGTAACAAGAAAGAAGCAAATACGTTAATGACATATGGTAGGTACTCCCCTGTAAAAATCTTTGAAAAACACAGATGCCCGTTGTGAGTTGAGAGACCTGGTGTTTCAACACGTTTGAGTCTCTCAGATGTAATGAGAAAAGAAAGGACCCCGACGCACAGGATTTAGTCTCTGTTTCCCTCCATGCATTTATCTATGCAATACTTGAGTAGCAACACCTGGGTATTTGCCATCTAGCCAAGAATTATATGTGTCCAAGGACACAGTGAATTGGGAAAGAATTCAGAAGGGAAGTGCAATGCCATTTTCTGTTTGACTTTAGTCTTGCTAATTTGAAATTAACAGAAAAATGTGCTGGGATAAAGCAACAATTTTGCATTTGTTGCCTTAAGGAAAACAGGGAGGAGAACAGCAACATACATGGAGCAAAGTAATAATTATTCCTAGGCATCCTTTCATGAATGATCTTTTTTGGGTCATTGAGCAGAAGAAAAACATCCCCAGGACACCAAAGGTATTGTGAAATATTTCTCTTACGAACAGTACTTTATATTATGGCAAGAGCATTCCTGTCTTGTCAATTCATTAGGCCAAGGTATTTTACAAACTTCTTTACGATTCCCCGTGTGGGAACAAAGGCACATGGCCATCCTCTGGGCAGAACCTGGAGGGCTGTCCACGTGGCAAAGGGTTTTAATGAAGCAGGGAATGCTGCTTCGTGGAGGAACAGGAGATGCTCCCTGAAGGCTGATTTGACAGCATGGAAGTCAGTGGGAGCACCATGTTATTGAGTGCAGCAGGCTCCTGAAGGAGGAGTTTTCCCCTTGCACATACACCTATGGAGCATAGTCAGGCTGTCATACCATCCGTGAGGTTTTGGTGCTGAAATATAGGGAGATGGCAGGTGGACAATAAATAATATTTTTATAGATTGTCTTTGTGACTGTGGGCTGCAATATTATCTGCATCTTATTTTGTAATTCAAAGGCTAAGTTTGTTTCTTTCAAAAAGTAACAACTTCTAGTAAGGTTTTGAAGCATTTTAAATGTAGGAACTTCCCAAGGGCCGTAAGCAGAACAGCTACTGAAATCAAAGCGAAATGTGTTCATTTGTATATTTTCAGTGGAAAAAAAACATTCCAGCTGCCCTCTAAAACAAGGAAGTTCTGACCTGGGAACCAGAAAAATCAAGGGAATAATATCTATTAATACCAGTAGATAAAAACATTGGCCCAGATTTAGTGCCTGCAATAACTTGGATTATGTAATGCTTTTAAACGAAAGATGAACCATCAGAAGAAATATTTACAGAGCAGCTGCTCTAGATCCTTGAATGTTTGGATATTTGTATGAGATGACACCTGTAGCACAAGTGTGTGTATTCTGAGTGCACTTCTTCAGGGAGATGTTGCAGAGCATGGAGGAAATGGAAACACCAATAAAGTAGAGATATTCATATTTAGCAAAGCTGATGTTCACTCAGTCATCGACAATCACATAAATTTAACCCAAATGTATCTTCTCAATGAACTTTTCAATTCGGCTCCTTAGAAAATTTGAAAAGCATTAGCATCTTGAAACTGTTGAAGGAATAAATATTTTAAATTGAATGTTCATTAAAAGCCCTAAGCTCAAACATTTCATATAGAGTAGATTGGAAATCCATTTCAAATAGGGATATATATAGCAGAGACGTTTTTTATCCTGAGTGTGTAGGAAGTTTCTTTATGACTTCCTTTCTGCGAAATGAACCACCCTTCCCAGAGAGTTAATCAGTTAAGAGGTGCCTTCTAATTTTTTTTCTACTTTTTTCTGCTGATGTTTCTGCTTGTTACTGACTGGCGTTAACTTTATGACTACATTATGATCCTATTTTCAAACAAATCTGGAATCAAACAGCTGGCAACAACGCAGAGAAAGTGAGAAGTAAACTAGTGTAAACTTCCTGTGAAAGGAGCTGCCTCTGGACCACAACAAAAAAGGGAACAGCCCATTTACATTCAACCAGATGCACAGAATTTTTTCTTGAATATTTAAAGGACTTTATTTGCTTGCCTTCTTTTGAAGGGGTGTATATCCCAGGGGTCCTGATCTATTGATGCAAAGCTAAAATCCAAGAATTTCTGATGATGTAGAAGCACTAGGAAGAGCATACCATGGAGGATTCGATCTTTATTTTGGTATTCAAGAAATGAGCCACCATTTAGGGCTGCTATAGTGCACAACAGCTGAAATCCGGAGCCCTCATTTATACTTGTTTTTACAAGAAAGTTTGGGACTTCCACCCTTCAGCGCTGTAAAAGCCTATACACAGCTAGAGTTGGAAACTGAGAAGTTATTATTTGTGAAGATATAAGATGTGCAATCTCTTCTAACTTGAAGACTGACTACGGTCACCTGATATTTCACAACTTAAGCCAGGCCACAAAAAGGTAGTCAGTTGGTTTTAATCAGCTCCTAATCATGTTAACCTAAATTACAGGCTATTTAAGCTGACAAGCAATCCATTACTTATTTGGAAACTAGCAGGAGCAAGCTCTCTATTATGCTACCTCTACATCTCTTTTGGTGGTACTCATAAAAGGGTTTGTTAAGGAATGGCATCAGTATTATCTCTTCTTGTCCTGCATGCACTTTACATTTTGTCTTTAGAATACAAATATTTATACAAAAGGAGACCAAAAAATGCATTAGGAATACCTCATTACAGCTGTAGTAACTATACAAAAAAGATGATTAAGTGAGAGCAAAGTCTCATGTGAGAGAGAGTACTCTGCAAAACTTATAGCTCAGAGCACCAATGAGATACTTTCAGTAATTCTGTCCTGAATACTGAGAACTATGGTATCATAATGGAAAAATTCTAGGCTTTTTTAGCTCTGATTATCTCCAAATGTGTCCATCTTAGTCACGGGACCTAGTATCCACTACAGGATTTTATGTAGGGCAACCAAAGAAGGACAACCAGTGCACTGGTTTTCCTGAAAGTTTTCTACTACAAGGCTAGTTCCATAGGGATGCTTTAGATTTAATGAATTGCTTTTATATTTATTAGAAGTCATTATTTTGAAATGTAAAATGCCTTCTGACATTGTTTGGGCAATTCAGAAAAATCATTCAATAAACTGATATGAAGTTTAAAACACTACACATTTCTGAAATGGCTCATAAGCCCTTTTCTACTCTCAGGAAGAGACATGCAAGGGTGCCCTAATAAGCAGATGGCATTATCATTCAATCAGCAGGCTGGTTTTTACTTCCTCTAATTACAGGTTATTATTATAGTAGCAGATGTGCACAATTTGCAAATAATGTCAGTACAAGACTATTTAATTATTCATTACCAGAAAGAGAATTTTCAATTAGAGAAATCAGTTGTAATACTACTTTTGCTATTCCTTTGTTATTAGGTCCTGTGACATCTTCAGAGATGACAGTAATACATTTGAAACGTTACAGAAGATATAACTCTTTCTCTTTGCAAAGCAGCTCCACAGAATCACCAAGTTTGAAAAGAGATTTTAAATTTGTAAATACACTCAAAATATCATGAAAAATAGGTTGATATTCTATAAAAAAAAACATTTGGATACCATTTTCACACTAGATAGCATTTCATAGAGTTTACATACAAATATTAGAAGAATTGTCTTTTAATAATTCAATTTGGAGTTGTTTTCCATTTATTTCTACATACAGCTCCAGATTACACTTATATAATAAATGTTAACTTCTATTATTGGTAAATATGGTAATAAAAAACTATTTAATGAAGACAGGTTGTCATTAGTACACATACTTCAAATAAGATTGAACTGCATGGAGTTAAATTCTGCCCTCCAGATATGCCTGTTTGACTCTCATTAGTACACATACTTCAAATAAGATTAAATTCTGCCGTCCAGATATGCCTGTTTGACTCCAAGTAGGCTTGCAAAAGACTTAGGCTTCACCTTTTTCTCATGTAATCTCACTCTAATAAAAATTTGAATCAAAATACAAAGGTGCTGCCTAGCTGGGTAGCTAGCCACCAAGAAATATTTGCTAGGATTTGGGTGTTTTTACTGGAGCGTGTCTCTCAAAGGTCAGCATACAACCTGGAGAGCAACTTTTGAATATTTTGTTGAAGCATAGTACTCTTACACCTGCTTTCCAATATATCAGGAAGCAAGATAAGCCCTCATTATTTTCAGTCTGCGAAGCTCTATCCATATGTCATTAGAAAAAGCTAAGCATGATTTACTGTACACATCAGCTATTGAATTTGCAGGGAGTATCAAGGATAATACGATACTGCCACACTTCAGAGAAAAGCACAAAGATCAGAAAGCAAAGAATTATGAAATAGCTTTATTTTCACAGCCCTCCCTCTTCCCCTTTATGATGCTGTCACACCATTTCTGCAGTCTATTAAGGGAGAAGAGCACCGGGGACATGGTGGGAACCAGGTTCCTCTGCAAGGGAAGGAAGTGAATGTGTGTGCCTCTGAACGTATGGAATGGCAGCCGCATGCAATTGTTTTGGCAAGGGACTTCGCAGTATCTGTCTTCAGAAGACAACGAGAAAGATGGTTGTCCCAAACAAATACGGATAATTGATCCATCCTATGTAGGTCTGCTGGACTATAATCTTAGTAGTGAGGAAATCAGCAGTAGGACCTTCAGATGCCCCCTGTCCTGTGTGGGAGGGGGATCTTGTTCTTTCAAATCCAGAATCTCTATCAATACAAAATCTTTTTATTTTTGTGTGTGTGCAAAAGACAAAACCTTATTTTTCTAAGACAAAATATTAATGATGAATTATGGCATCTCCAGACTCCATGCCTTAATTCATAACACAATAGCCCATAAGCATCCTCAGCTGGGCTCTTGTTTTACATTATTTTTGATAAGATCAGAAGCCCTGTGATTGACTCCTAATTCTAAGGGAAACAGATAGCAGTGGTGTAGTCACATGTTGGAAAAGGAGTTAATTCATTCATCTGCTTATTGTACAATTGGTGTACTGCTATAGAAGAATAGTGACATATGGGAGAGCTTTCTCTACGGAAATGCCATGGATAAATCAAAGGAATGTTCAGCACTGGTTAGAAAGTTAACAAGTACTTAGACATTTTCTAAAATTACATCTCCTACTTAATTCCTCTATCTTTCACAAAATAAAATTAAATACATACCTGGAGATACTGTCACGAGAAGCTGCTGAATCTAAACTATCCATTCTTTCAGATGCTTGCAAACCAGAAGTTTGACCAGCATTTTTATCAACTGAATCCAGTCCTGATTCTTTAGAGAGTTTCATCATATGGTTCTGGTAGTACATATGGATGCTCTCCCGAGTTGGCACATTACCCTGCGAAGGAGAAAAGAAGCATGTACTTGTGGTAGGTGTGCATGATATGAGGAACTGATTTCTTCAGTCATTTGGCAAGGCACGGATAAGCTTGGAGGGGTCTGTGCAACCAGCTTTGCAGCACATGATAATCTTCAAGTGCCTTTTTAGAGAGCAAGACAGATTCTGATTTACTGCCATAACATACAAGGTTGGGGTAGCAGAGCAAAACTGAAGCAAGCAAGTGACTTCAGGTCATGCAGGGTCCACAAACCTGTGTTGGTGCAGTGCAAAGCATTAAAGTGTGAAAATGAGATAAGAGATGGGATGGGACCATGTCTTAACCTGTACACAGAGCTTTTTGAGATAGCATCACTGAATCTAACAATTGTATTCCCTATTAGTGGCCAGTAGCAGGTATTTAAACAGAAAAAAAAAAAAAGGCACAGGCCCAGCAAAAAATGATTTAGATTTGATTAGTGCCCCTGAAATAAGAAGTCATTCATGAAGTATAAGTACATTGTGAAACTGTGAAAAATACCTTGCAGAGCTTTGTAATTTACTTGTTCTCTGATCAAGCAAGATCATGAAGGATGGTCTTATTAACTGTCAACCCAGGTCTGGGCATGGAATGAAGTGTTCCTAGCTATGATACTGTCATCAGGATATTGAAGACTTGTAACAAGTACATAACTGGGAATTTTATAGCCTGTTGTAATGCAGAAACACATCCAACTCATTCCACCAGTAGTTGCACTATGTTCAGAAGATACACTGAGAGAAGATTGCTATTTTTAACAATTACTTTGCTGTCTTTTAATGAGGCCTTAGGTAAAGTTTTTTTTTTCCAACTAAAAAAACTTTGTAAGAGCACAGTCTGACCCCTGGCCTTTTAATAAGGTTTGCTTGTACACAAAATGTGCTGCTTCTACAGTGAAGTTTTAAATGTGCCCTTATGCCTCTGAAACTAAAGGACCCGCTGCATTCAGTTGCAGGCCTGGGATAAAGGAGAACAACTGTGACAATAAAGTGCCCCACAGCTGAAGGAGAAGGACTCAATTTCATATTCTTCTGCAGGTGGAAGAGAGACAAAAAAGAACTTCATATATCAGATTACTTGTCCCTGACTCCCCTCTGGATGAAAAGAAAAAACTTATATCATCACAGTAACTGCAGGGAGAGCCTCCTTTCCTGAGCAGCAATTAGAAGAACAGGGCTGTTACAGAGACTAGGAAAGGCTGTAGAGGAATTGGTGATTCCAGTGCTCACTGGTGCCAATATTTTATAGAAGAGGAAGGAAATGTCCTGGAAGCAAAATTTAAGTTGCTATTCCTAAAGCTAATGACCTGGGGACATTCTTGGAAGGGTCCCCTGTACCATAAGATTTAGGATTGAAGCAGCCCATAAAAGCCTAAACAAGGAAGGATAGGCTCTACTGTAATCAAAACAGTATTAGGCTACTGATAAATAAAATTGAATAAACAAAAAATCTTGCACAGAAAGGAGGGGAAAAACTCAGTAACACTCAGAAAAGAAGTAGAGAAGAACACAAAATAAGGTCCCAAATAACTAAGTACTATTAAATAGGCAGTTAGTCTGGCTTATACATAAATGTTAAAACTCTAAAAACTAAAGAGTAGTGAGTGAGTATCACATGATTCTAAGCAAGGATGTTGAAACAGCAGATACTGCTGAGATTTGAGGTAAAAAGCATTGCTGAGATGATCTAGTATCACAGTACAAATTCTACAGAAATGATGGAACGGAAAAAGCTTGGGAAAGAGGTGACACAGGTCTAAAAGTAGAAATACAAACAAGTGGAAGTCAAGAGGAAAAAATAAATAGAAACAAGAAAAAAATGTTCTAAAGTCAAATTTAAAACTAGTGCTAATTCGATGAAAAAAAAAGAGAGAGAGATGTTGACAAATACCTTGCAATATTCAAAAAAGCTGGTGACATGAACATTTTCAAGTATATCATAAAAATCACTTGCCAGAAAGCCAAGGTATCAGTCGGTGATCAAGGCATAAAAAGGAGTAACTCTTCAAGGAGGTAAGATAGCAGGAGAAAACATGACTGAATTTTTTTGCATTCATATTCAGTACAGAGAGGGTCACTGAAATTCCCAATGGCATCTCATGAATCTGACTGGAATCTTCCTGAGATTCTCATGAATCTCATGGAACAAGTGGATTAAAAGACAGGCTTGAGGAATTCTTTCAAATAGTAGTGTTGATAGAAAATGATTTAGAGAAAAAAAATGTACTGAACAACGGCTGCACAATGTTCACAAAAGTGCTCGGCAGGACCTGACAGGTGAAATAGCCCGGGTGCCAGAGGAAAAGAAGGTGACACTAATCCTTAAACATCGCTTCAGGAGTGATCCTGAGAAATTAATGACCCTTTTAAGAAATTAACCTGTCATGGAAAAAAAGGGACTATATCTCTTATATTTATCCTTCATTAAAAGACAGGAAACAAATGGCACAAACAAGCCCTGTAGCTAGGAGGAAGTTGATCAGCTGGTTCCCTCAAGGAGTTTTACTGTCC